AAATTATGCTATTAAAAAGATAGGCGGTGATCTTTAAAAAAGAAAAAAAAAAGTGCTAAACAAAAATATGGTGGCAAATGTAACCCTTGTTTCTATCTTAAAATCTTTGACACCGTTCTCAACTCCTCTTTTCAATCTTTTGCCCATTTTCTTAACTCTCTTGACCATTCTCTACAATCTTCCTCCTATCTTCCCAAATCTCTTTCAATACAAACATCAATTTTCTCTTCTTTCACTTAATTTTTTCAAATGAGTATTCTTCATTTCTTATGCAGCACACAACATTCCTCCCTCAGCCATGTTTTCTAGTATCGGCACGGAGTAGTTCCCAAACACCAATCAAGATCTAGTGCAAGGAGACTTGTTCGACTCTCTATGCTCGTCCTCCACACAACGATGCACAAGTTTTGACCTTTCTTCCAGATCAGTACTAAAGACATCGTTCGTACCTAGCTGAGCCTATGAAAATTTCTCTCCAAACACTATCGCCAGTACATTCGTCATCTTCTTTGGCTGATTTTTCTAACCTCCACTAATGAAGCTTATTGATTTCTACAATGTTTTGGATTGAAGGTAGGTATCAAATTTTCTTCCTATTTTTTTGTCATTTTAAACTTGAATCAAACATACCATTGTTATTGACTTCTTGCCTAGAAGCAAGCTTGAAAATGCTATGGAATGCTTACTACAACATTGTTTAAAGCTATATATTCCCTTTCATAGCATTTTTTTCTAGCTATAAAACGTTTATAATAGCGTTTTTACAAAGCTATCAGTTTTTATAACATTAAAATTATGCAATTAAAAGTCAGCTTTTTATAGCATTGAAAAAATGCTATGAAAAATGAAACACTTTCAATAACATCAACTACCACGATGTTTCGAAAATACTATGGAAAGTCAACTATAGAGGTTTTTAGATGCTATCCTATGTGATATTTGTTGTAGTGTTTACATCCTATTTGAAGAGGGGTGCTTTGTTTGGTGATGCCTGTCTGTGCTCACTGGACACCGACTATCATCAGTTGGAGTTGAGGTATTGCATGGAACCTGGGAAGCATCTCAATGGAGTTGACCAAAAAATTTTGAGATGAGTTAATTGTCCACTCTGTCCATGTGAGCTATGACTATCTAGAAAGATTTTTGTTCCACATATTTTATGACATTGTACATCATGGCAATGTGTGTGTATTCATCTTTTACCTTATTAGCATAGCTACTTATGGAGTATTTTTAATACTCACCCCCTTTCCTTTACTTTTTTTCTTCAAGTATAGTTAAAAGGGAAATAATTAGGTTGTCTGCCAGCTGTGGTATGAATTTCGCTTTCATGTTAGTCTTCATCTTTTTAATTCAATTATTTGTTTAAAGTTATTTATTTTACTATCATGATTAATGTAAATTTTTTATGAGATCCTGAATAAAGGTTTTTTATTGTTTTATTATTATGTTTTGAGTTATTATTATTTTTCTATATTGTTTTTTCTCAATGATTGAAAATGCTGAAAGCATGCTTATAATAATTTCCCTAGCCAATCTACGTCCAAAAGAGCCAAGTCGTTACAACACACCTGATTTGGTTGATGCCACTCAATAATATGAAAACATGTAAGAGTTTTTAAAGTTAATCCTTTCTCTAATTAATATTGTTTTTCATTCGGTACCACCATAACTTTGTCCTTAACAAGTGATATGAACCGCCTAGAATTTCAAATTATAATACACTTTTATTTAAGAGTTTTTTAATGAACATATTAAGTAGAGGTATTTTTGCCTTTTGCTATGGCTGAATATATGACATCTATGGCTTAGTTTTATCTAAAGTCTTGGGATGAGGTTGTTTCACACATTATATTAGGTATATGATGACTGAATTTAGCCTTTTGAGATTTTCATTTCAAGTTAGGTATGAGCACCATTTTAAATTCAAAATATTTTCAAAATATTTTTAATTTGAGAAATAGAAATTTTTTTGGTTAAGAAAATACAATGGTTATTTTAGATAAAGAATAAATTTTCAAAATATTTTAAATTTAAAATATTAAATATTAAAAAAAATCAAATTTATGATTTCTTAAAGAAAATATAATTTACCATATAAAAGTATAAATTATTAGCTTTAAATAAAAAATAATTTTTTTATTTGAAAAATAGGAAACTTTTTGAGTAAGAAAATATACTGGTTTTAAATAAATAATAGATTTTCAAAATATTTTAAATTAAAAAATGCTAAATATTAAAAAAGAAAAAACAAATTTATGATTTATTAAAGAAAATACAATTTACAATTTATAACAGTATAAATTATTAGTTTAAATAAATAATAAAATTTAAAAATATTTTTTATTTGAAAAATATAAAACTTTTTATTTAAGAAAAAAAATAGCTTTAAATAAAGAATATGAGAGAGAGGAAAAAAACTAATATTTGGATTATGCCAGAATCGAGGGCTAGTCTTGGGAGAAGGTAATCAAATCAAGGTAAGAAACGAAGCAAACAAAACTATAGTTTCCAAAATTGGTCCCTTTTTCGGAAACATTTCTTAAAATTTAGAAAGGATAAATGAGATTGGTTATCAAGAATTAGGAAACGATAACGTTACTAAACGGGCTTGAATTTTTTGTTTCTAAACTTTATACTAATAAAGTTGATAATGTTTCGTAAAAATAAGAAATTATTATCAAATTTGCGTATTTTTTCAAAAGAGAAAAATGGATATCAATTGTATGTATTGTGGAGCAGAGAACCATTGGATCGATTGGTGACATTTTTTTTATCACTAATTTCTATTTTTCTTTTTATACATTAAAAAAATGTTTTCGATAATTGTTTCTCATTTTTTTGTCTTTTTATTGAAAATAAAATTAAAATGTTTTTGAAACTAATTTCTTGTTTCTGAAATCTTAAATTAAAAAAAAAAGTTAATAAAATTAACTTCATTAAAATAAAACTAATTTAGCTCTATCAAGCTCAAGATTTGTAACTGCCCCTGAGCATGAGAAGGTATTGACAAATGCTATACTAGTGTCCCTCTATTTTTTTTTTCTTTTTTGAAGTTTATTCTTTCTATTTATGTTTTATCCTATTTACTATCTCCTACCACACTGATTATGCTTATTACCACACTGATTAAGTTTATCAACAAACCATTAGGGGATGTTTGTTTCGTTTTCTTGCCATGATTTATTAAGTTTGAGTTTGTTAAGTCTAAGTTTGTTAAGCTTGAGTTTGTTAAGTCTGTGTTTGGTTGGTGCAGTAAATAGGTTTATTAAGTCTGAGTTTGTTAAGTCTGTGTTTGGTAGATGTTAAATTGGGTTTGTTAGGTCTGTTTTTTGTATTTTGTTAAACTGTCTTTATTAAACTTGCGTTCGAAATTTTAATTTTCTTTTAAAAAATATAATTTATAAACTAATTGTTTAATTGATTTATGAAATACTATTTTAAGGATAAATAAAATATTTTTAATATATTTGTCCATCAATTTTTTTTTCCAAGGATTAATTTTTAAAATAAATATTCAATGATCTATTAAAATACTTAAAATTATTAATCAAAGTCTAAACAAGAATATACAAATTTATTCGACATAAATCTTACTGTATAGAAAATGTTACCAACAATTTATTTAGTTTTTCATTATTTACTATCTTAAGAAAATTTGATTACTAAATTATTAAAAAAAATGATTACTTAATTATCATCAACATTATGATTAAATTTTACTTATTTTTATTAGACAATATAACAATTACATTTTATTACAAATGAAAATCTTTTAAATGTTTAAAAACTATTAACTTCATAAGTTAAAAAGAAGATATAAAATTAAAATAAATAATTATACACAATTATAACGTCTTCTACCAATGTGATAGTTATAACAAAAAGTAAATAAAAATGGTAGAAATAAAATGGAAAAAAATACAGCTAGAAATAGATACCAAGAACAAAAAAAATAGATTTTTCTTAAATCATTTGAAAAAAAAATTGGAGAAAAAGTTGTCGATATATAAATTAATTATTTATTACATTTAATTTTAATTAAATTGATTTCCTTATTTATTTAATATATTTAATTAAAAAATTAATACATTTTAGAATAAAGAATAAATACAAAATATACATCGTAGCAACTTGGGGAGTAGGAATAAAGTAGTGTAGTAACTTGGATAATGGAATAGTATTTACTGTAGCAAACATGAGGGTGAAATAGTATTTACTATTTACGGTAACAAACTCAGGTTTATAAAACTGTGAAGAAAACGTGGATTTGTCTTAATAAGTCCTACTCCTCATTTTAAAACGGGAACCAAACACCCAAGTGTGTATTCGGCCACAAATTAAGTTTGTATCTAGCATGCCTATTGAAATCCTTAGGGATGATAAAAAAGGTTTTTTTTTTTTTAAAATTGTAATGGTTAGCTAAAATTTTAAAGAACTGTAAAAAAATACTTTTGAACAATTTCAATGATTCTTCTAAAAGTGGTCAAAGAAATCCTATTAAAAAAACCTAAAAAGTTAACTAATTTTATCAACCTCCAAAAAAGCACTCAATTGTTAAGAAATTGAGGTCTCTATTCTTCACGTTCAAATATTTTAGTGAGCTTAATATAAAAAATATTTGATGTCTCTAGAATGTTGGTCTTGGGTAGGTGTGGGTGCTCCTAGATTTAGAAAAACAAATCTGAAATTCTAATTATAAAAAAAAAGGGTATTTTATTCCTTTTCAAGTACTCGTATAATAAGCTAGCCACTTAAATAAGTAATTTTTTCAAAAGCATACGAAACTTAATTCATCACATAAATTTATCATCCCAGGCCCAACATTAGTTATTTACCTCAAAATCGAAGCCAATAAACTAATTTCATAATGTGTCAAAGAAGTGAAAGAGGTGAGTGAGTGAGAAGACCCACATCGGCAAAGTACATGGGATGAGACCTCACAATCTGCTATAAATAGGAGACCATGGCGAGCCTTTAAACATACTTACCTGGACGGGGTCAATGGGCGATCAATGAGGCCCATGGCCTAGGATGGTGACCTCCATTGCACATTTGGGGAGGGGTGCCCGCCTAAGGTCTGCCCAAAAGTGGCAGAGCCTACGTCGTAATTTGTGGTAGTGGGGGCCTGCGTTCGCGCGGCCCCTTCCAAATGCCCCAGTTTCAACCATTTGCCGCTGTGGAATCGTATCGTATCGTTCAGGTATTATCTTGATCTGCTTCTGCTATTTTATAATGCTTTCTTTACTCTCTTCGATGTTTGTTGGCCGCCCTTGACTTGAAACTGTGTAATCCATTAGTAACGACTTCAGCTAAATTTGGTTGGAAGTGAAGAAAAGGGAGGCAACCATCATATATTATGTAATGTAGTTCCATGTCAGAAAGTAGAAAGAATATATAAGGAATTGTGGCTGAAATAGTTCATCCTCTTGTCAACTGAAGACCATAAAATATTGCAAATGGCTAGTAAGTTTTGCATATCTTTTAGTTGGAGAAGTTGAACACTTCTTTTCAAAAATAAGATAAGAATTACAAGAGACAGTTGATTGGTCCTTACATTCTACCTATACCATTTCTCTAAAATCACCGAGGAAAATATATTGAAGGGGTATTTGGGGGTGACGTTAGAATTAATAATTTTAAAAAAATAGATTTAAGTATAATTTATTAGTAATGGTTTAAAGTGATTTTAAAATTTTCCTAAAGTCAATATTTAATTTGCTAAATATGATCAATAGAAAAGAAAAATGGTTTTGACAATGGAAAAATGATTTTGGTACGTCAAAATCACTCCCAAACATCCTAAAAGTACTTTGTTTTATAAAAATTAGCAATTCTTTAGAGATCAGTCATTCCGATTAACACACTAATATTCATCACAGTGCTAATAAATTAGTTATCCAATTACAACGTTATAGTGTTGTATCTCTGGTTCATTTGCATTTTACGTCTGACCTTAGGGTCGATGTATGCTATCAAGTTTAGTGATATTGCTGTCAAATTCTCACTCCAAAAACTGTTTAGCATAGGAAATGGAAAACATAAGACATATGAAACGTTTGATATCAGTACCTTTGCTGTCATAATGGGTTGGGATTTTGGAGTTTATCTACATTTGCAGATTTGGTTTTATGTAGTATCATGAATTTTTTTGTAGGGATATGATCATAAGAAAAATTTCTTTTAAAGATCCTTCGATTCTTCTCCGACCTTCCATTTATGTGCGGTGTATTTTTTTTTTTTCTTTGGTTGGACTCTGCCTCATTAGATTGTGTGAGAATGTTTCGAGTGTAGTGTTTATGAATGAAACACTTTCCTATTAGTATTTTTCAAAAATATCTGTGAATATCCCAACACATCTCACAAATAATAAGATTTTAAATTCTGAGTAGTTGGCCACCATAGTTTGAACCTCAGCCAATACATTATTTTTTTTTTTTTTGAAAAAAAAGAACTTATTTTATTTTGGAACCAGAATGAAATGTTTTAGATAACTATCAAAAGTATTTTTATAAGATATCTAGTTTATTTCCATGTGTTAGGCTCACTGGCTCAGTGTATAGTGTTGATGCCAAAATTTGTCAAGTGTGGGATGATGTGTGCTAGGTTCAAGCAAGTTACTAGCGAGCGAGCTCAAGAGGGAACGTCTCTCTATGAGTTGATGTAGAGCTAGCTAGAGAAAGAAAACCTACAAAAACAGGTAGAGCATTCTGACGCTCAAGTTAGTCTTGGATATGAGCTAGACAAATGATTTTCATACTTAGTTGGGAGGAGCGAAGGTGCATTTATAGAGGTTAGATGAGTGCTAACTTGTTCAAATATCAATCTATTCTACGTTTGAGTGGTGACATGGAGTGAATTTGCTCCCAAGTAGTAATAAATGGTTGTTGGAAGGTCATTTGACAGGTGCGTTTACCTAGACGCACTCAAACACTTAGTCATTTTGCCTTCACGCGATCTGGACCTTCGGGCGGATGGACTGTGGAGAGCTAGAATTGTCTTTTCCCTATATATATATAATGGGGAACTTCCTTCCCTCATTATCTTTGTTTATTATTTATTTATTTTTTTACTTTTGGTGGTATTATCTTTTTTCTTTTATTTGTGTTATTATAAAATAATTAAATTAAAAATACTTTGTGCATTCAAATGCAGATCAATATATTAAAATGCTACTATCTCGAAAAATATTTTTTTTTTTATCATTATGTCCCTTTATTAATTTTTAAATTTACTAAACATGTCATTTTTAATTTTTAATAACTTTAATTAATAATAATGTGGAAGGTATGAATATGAAAAGCTTGACATATTTATATTTAACCATTTATGATTTTATATTTAATTAGAATTAATAATGGAATGTTGGAATATCAAAAGATTTCCAACTTATCTATGTATATATATACACACATGTGTATATATATGGAGGTTCCCTCTAACTTTTTCTACAATAATTTTACTCTTTTTCTTAGTTTACTTCTTTTCATCTCTTAATTTCTTCTAAATTTTATAGATTTAGTAATGTTATATTGCACACTCTATTGGAAGGTCGATGTGATAGTTGTTTTGACTCTATTAGTGTTGAAGATGGGAGATCATTGTGTCTCTTGCTTGAAAATTGGCCAAAGGACTATATTTCTTCCTTTGTGCAAGAGGAGTTTGTTCCTCTTTCTTTTGTTTATGATTCCATTTTCTTTTTTTCTAGAAAAAAAGTAGCATTATATTGCACAATAGCTTATTACATTGAATATTTCGATTTATAGGAGTGACAAAGTAGCGTCGTCCTACAATTAGATGTCATTGAAACCTATAGAGTGATTTGATCTCAAATATCAATCAAAGGTGGACAATCTTAAATATTATTTTGAAATAAAAGTATCAATCTATTCCATAAATGTTTATAAATTGTTTCATAATTAATATTCTTATTATTTTTATTTTAAAAGTTTTTGTATAGTTGTAATTTATTTAGTTATATATATATATATATATATATATATATATATTTTGTTGACGGCAAATTTCGAAGAGTTCCACATGTCCCTCGGATGAGTGCTTTCGCAAAGGAGGAAATGAGGGTGCAGAAAATGCGATGTCGGTGCTATGTTCCGCCTAATACACTCCAATGCTCAAGTCAGTAATCGGAGTCCAGAAAATAGGAGTCGACACCTTTAAGGTTTCAATGACGATTTTTCACTTCTTTTTTAAGGTGGGAGTCCTTCCCTTTTATTTGCATGGATGGCAGACCAGGAAGGACAACTGTTGAGACGGAAGGGATGCATCGAGTTGTACGAAGCCCTAATGGTGGAGTGTGTGCCCCCGACAATCAGTGGGTGGTGCCTCCATTCGCAGGCCTGTTACCTACAGTCTGTGGATGCTCGGGGTCTTTGTCTTACAGCAAAGATGACGACACACTCGTCTGCTTGCGTAGAGTGCGTAATAGTTTGTGGTCCCATGCATTGCTGTGTCGCTTTCGAAATTTGACACGTGTCTTACTCGGGCTTGCCCTCACCATATATAATTTATAATTTATTTGTATAACATAGTTCTTAATCAATTTTCTCTCCTACAAACATATGGGAAATAATGTTATTATCTTTATTTCTTGAATTTTTTTTAATGAACATGACATATTCTAAAAAATTAGCTAAAAAATAATCTTTTAACTTTTGTAGAAATGTTTTCTTTAAAATAAACAAAAATTATTTTAAGCTAATTTTAAAATATTATTAAATTAATTGATAATATATTTAATTTAATTTCTAAAGTGTATCTATCAGTAGTCATAAATTAATAAGAACTCATTAAAATTAATACAATTAAATTAAAAGTAGACTAAAAATAACTTTTTAACTATAACACAAATAACTTTTTAACTATAACAATCTACTATAGTTATTAATTAAATACACAAATGAATATAATATGGATTCAAATCAGTACAATTAATTTGAATGTGAAATATTATGAATATTTATTTTCTAAAAACTTTGATAAGTTCATAATACAATTAGACTACAAATTCAATAAGATTTTTATTAAGTAAAATATAATTGTTGAAAAATTAACTTTAAATAAATGATGTTACAGGGAGAAAGAGAAGATCCAACTAAGCGAGAGAAGATCAGGGAAGAGCCAAGAGAAGGCATGAACCAAAAAGGGGGTCAGTGCTCGGCAACCCAAGCCAGCTCCCCCGACCGACTAGTGATCGACGTTGATCAGGGCTCGTCGTCGAGACCTTCTTGGCGCGGAGCAGTTCTCGGCCCCTTGGCCGAGAACTCTAGAAGACCCGACTTGACCACGATGCATGCCGGTCCGAGCCCATCGCGTCCCAACTTTTGATCCGACGACATACCTATAATAAGATATGTTGGCCTAGAGTTCGTAGATGTATTAGAATTCGAATTCCACAATCCCTAGAAGGATCAAGATTAAATAGGGAAGTAAGTCAAACCCTAAAGGTACGCCTAAATACCCTACTCTCTACTCTCGACTATTTCAATACTAACTTAAGCATCGGAGTCCGTGTGTCAGGAGCGACAGAGGTCTTAGTATTATTTTGGTTTTGCAGGTCACGTCGATTTCTAGTATTCTAGAATATTGGTGCAAATTTGGAAGAATACTAGAGAGTCAAATTTATGCATCAACAAGAGAGTTTAAATGTATCATTAAATTGATTAATATATGAAATTTAAAAATGTTGAATGGAAAAGTTTTTATATTTCACTCTTAAATATTTTAACTTTAATTATAATTAGTTATAGATTTTTAATTGAAAATTTTCAAAGGTGTTATAACTCTTGCATCCTCCTAAAACTATAAAAGTGAAGTGTTCTTCCCCCAGTAGATTTTTTTTTTTCAATTTTTCCACCAATTAGTTACCATTAAATTCATGTTACATTAATATTCTATTAATTTATATAAATTTTTTGGTTTTTTAAATCTTTTATTGATTTTAGTTTAATATCAAATTAAAATATCCTACCTAACAAGCACAAAGTAATATACTAGTCTACTATAAATTATATAATATTGTAAAACAAAAATTATACAGAATTTATAACACATATATTAATCAATTAATTAATAATACTTTTATTGAACTAAATATTTAGTTGGTAACCACCTCACTCAATACATATTAAAATTTTTTTTAAAATTTATATTCAATCTCCAAGTTTCCAAACACATATTCGAAAACATTAAAAAAACATGAATACAGTTCTGTTTTTCGATTGAATCTCCACTTTTCATCTTTTATGTTTTTATCACCAATGCACCCTTTAACTAAATCATAAAAACTACAATAAAAAGAAAACAAGACCCAAAAAGATCCAATTAAAATTAAGCTAAAATTATAGGAATTAAAAAGTTAATTTAAACGGGACTAAACTTGCACCATACCTATGATTGTCGCCAACAAACTAAGTATAGTATGAAAAATTGCGTAAAGCAGAGAGTAAAGGGTGCAAATAGAGAATTTTGAAAGAAATTTGAAGTGTTGAAATGAATACAGATTGTATGTACAAGTTTTGATTCTCTGTGGTAATGAGCCAATGAATTTGTTGATCAAAAAAGACCCACATCGGCGGGGGAGGCGGCAGGGAAACTCAGAAAGTGCTATAAATAGGGCACCATGGCCAGCGTTACAACATACTTACCTGGACGGGGTCAATGGGCGATCACGAAGGCTCATGGCCTAGGCTGGTGACCTCCATTGCACATTGGGGAGGGGTGCCCGTCTAAGTTCTGCCCAAAAGTGGCAGAGCCTACGTCATTATTTGTGGCAGTTGGGGGCCTGCGTTCGCGCGGCCTCTTTCAAATGCTCCAGTTTCAACCATTTGTCGCTTGTTTAAATCTTGGTACCATATAGAAGCTCAAATGGGGGGAATTATAAAGGTACGCACAAATTCAAATCACTCAAAAAAGAAAGAAAGAAAGAGGGTCAATTATAAAATTCCTAAATAAAATAAATAATAAATAATTCACTTCATGTTATTAAGTAACTTGAGCACACTAAGCTATACATTCACCACGTGATAGAAAACTAAAAGACAAGTACGACAACTGATACATACAACTGGTACTCTATGTATAGGAAAGCCAAGAGTGTAAAATTATTAAGAGCTACTCCAAGTACGACAACTGGTACTCTATGTATAGAAAGACCAATCAACGTAGAGAGACCAATCTTGGAACAGAAGACATTGACCAAACACCAACCCACAAGAAAAGTGTAAAGACAATATAGATCGATGCATTTCGAGGCACCTACATGTGCGTGTACTGCTATACAAATAAAAATTTGATTGCATCCTCATCACACCTATAAATGGAGTCATGAGGTATATGCAATTCTAACAAAACTGATATTGGTATTCTCTCGTCGAATTTCTTATTCATTGAAGTGTAGTGCACTCAGTATCTCACCAGGGCTATAATTTTTTCGTCTAAGTGACACAAGAACAAGCAACGATCCCTTGATGACGACGAAGAATATCGATCTTTTTGACGTAACATTCTCAAGTGCATAGGCAAGAACTTATAAAAATGAGGTTATATCTCTCTTTATTTTATATGTCGTATCTTAAAAGTTGGAAGAATGTTTACTTGTAGTTCTTCTCTTGTTATTCAACTCTTGTGATGGTGTATATTGACAATTGTAGCATGTGTTGCCTTCTTGCGATGTGATCAAGAACACACCGGTGAGTTAACAAAATTTTAGAAAATAAATTAAGCTACTTTACACTCTGTTTGGTGTCAAGAAAGTTGATGAAACGATTTTAAATACGGTGATTTGAAATCCGAGAATTGATTTTACATTCTTTATCTTGTTTGGAGCAAGAATGATTTGAAATGAGTTAAATTAGATTTCTTTGTTTGGATGTTCACTGGAAACAAAAAGAAAATAAAAATTTTACTGATTAATTAGAAATTAAAATATGATGAGGTTAAATAGGTAATTTACTTCGAAAGTTTATCAAATCCTGCAAAATCCGAACATTTTGATCTGGAAATTTTTTTAAGTAAAAATAGGATTTGAAATTTTCATTCAAAATCATGTGCTACCAAACAGTGGAATTCATTTGAAATGAAATCCGGTATCAAACAAAGCAAAAGAAGAAAAATCAAAATTTTTTCCAACTTCTAAATTTTCTAGTTCAAGAATTTAAACGTGTTGAGTAAATATACGTTGTATATGTAAATTGAATAACACTGGTAAACAGATTACAACATAACAGGCTACAACAATACAAATTCGGACAACTTGATGAACACCACAAACTTGATTAAATTAGTCGAGACACGCTTCAATAGCGTTGATCTGAAGTCAATTATTCGCTCTGAACAAGTTGCTAGCAGACTACAGCGATCGTCTCAGTATGATACAACGACTAACTCCGGTAAAACAGTAACCTCGAACTACTCGGATTTGGCAGAACTCTTAGACAATTGCTCTCAACACAAACAAAAACAAGAACTCAAAAAGAAGAGAGAATCTTGTGAGAGAAGGAGAATACTCAATTGAGGTATGCTTGGATTTCTCAAAAGAAACAAAACCACAACTATATATAGTCGTCCAAACATGTAACCTATCACACAAAATTAAACACATAGGTAACCTTTTTGCATATGTTACATATGTAAATTTAACATATATAAATTTACAAATTAACAAAATAAAGAAACAACTTTTTCATTTAAATAAATAACTCCAAATTTAATATTAAAAGAAACAAAACCACAAACATATTCACAACGTATATATGTGAATAAGTTTCTTACACTTTCTTTCACACCTTTAAATCCAACAAAACCTTTCTCCCTTCGCGACTAAATTGAAATATTTTAAATAATAAAAAATTAAATTGAAAAAATATCAAAATATTTCCTCTAAAACATATATTTAGTCCAGTTAATATGGAAAGAAGATAAAGATAAAAGAACCAAATAAAATAGCTAAACACAAAACTAAATAGAAGGGAGTATTTAACCTATCGAAGGTAACTTATTGATCCAGATGGGCTAGAATTAAACTAAATCTTACTTCTTACTACACACCAATTAAACTAAATGACTGGCGATAATTATCCTATTTTCTTTTGTTTAATCTTGTGAATATGAGGAAAGAAAATCTAAGAACTCTATCAAACTCAAGACTCATAATAAGTATTATAGTATTTCGAAAACATTATATTAGTGTCTAACATCTCTCCAATTTTAAAGCATGATTATTTTTACAAGCACATGTTCCCTATGTTGTTGCTATCTCTACCTTCATCCTCGTCGATACACAATTATATGACAAAATTAACAGGAAGACTTTGATTTTCAATTTCCATGAGTTTTGAACCAAAAATCAAATATAATTTTCGAGAATTAGGTTTATACATATCACAGAAATTCATAATTAGTTAGTTGCCTCAAAGTTCAAGTAAATTATAAAGACTTGGAGTTCGTAGATGAGTCAATCAAAGTGGAAAGGTGAGAGATAACAGAGGTGGTGATAAAAAAGAAACTTTTTTTAATATGGATAAATTAAAAAAAAAATCACTCAAGGGGTTAAAAAATGTATTTGACCAAACATCTTCTTACATTATATTTTAAAAAATTGAAACCAATTTTTCCTCCTTTTAAATTTGTATACAATAGAGTTTCTTAGAAATGAGAAAGGATTGCCACGTAGGTAAGTCTTTTTCATAATAAAAAAAGGAAAAAAATAACCGATTGATGATATAGCCGTCAATAGGTCGATCAAGTTCAACAAGCCATTAATAGGTCGATCAACCTCAACAAAATCGCCAATAGGTCGATTAAGATCCACAAACCGTCAATAGGCTGATCAAGATCCAGGCCGATCACGATCCACAAGCCGCCAAATAGGTGGATCAAGATCAACCAGCCGCCAATAGGCCGACGGTCAACAAGCTGCCAAGCGAAAGAATCAGAGCAACACTGCAACGAGCTTCCGCTCCTCTTTAAGCTCGTCTTCTCCCGCCTCAGCATCCACGAGGCTGCGACAAAGGTGAGGTCCTTCAGCTCTCGCCGAGTAGAACGAGCTGTTCGGGTGCCCGAAGACCCGATGGAGGCGGTAAGGAAGACTGTAGCTCTTGCTGCCGAGGTAAGCTTGTTCTCACTCTACCTTTCTTCTCTTTCTTTAATCTTCCTACCCTAACCTCTGGCCTTTGCAGCTGCACTACCACGCCTGCCTCTCGGCATCAATGATGAGCCTGGAGCTC